GTTGGACATACACACCTGACAAAACCAGAAATCCTCTTTGGAACTCCATAATGCAAAAAATTAGGAAGTTTACCTGACAGTAGGCAGAAGCATTTGTCTTGGCTACAGACTGGCAACAAGGTAATGGTGGGAATTCCAAATGAGAATACACAGAAGTCAGTGCAAGTGATGTAAAATAGTTTCTTCTTGTTTTACCATGTATGTCCTGAAAGACTCAACCAGAAATTTGAATCCTAACTGTGAAGAGGAGGTTGAGAACACATAGTACTCACAGCACTGTCAGGATTCCTGGGCTAGTATGGCACAGCATTTCAACCAGCTTTGAGTGTTTTGACTTGCAGGTAGCACAGCATATTCTGGAAGGCAGGACACTTCAGAGAACTTCTTCAAGGAACACAAAGTAAAGCACACACACACAAACCAGCTGAGCATCTAAATGGACAAAAGCAACACTCGACAGTCTGTAGAAAGCATCATCTCAGGCTTATTACTTGAGGAATCTCTGAATAAGGCTCAGTGAAGAGAGTTTAGTCTGAAGTAGTTGCTGCTTTTGAAGGGCAGTCTCACTAAAGAGACGCTGCATGAGGCAGAGCAGACAGGGACTAACTCTCTTCCTGCTCTCCACCCCTGCAGACAGCACTGAGGTGGAGTGCAGCCCCAGCTCTGAATCCACAGATCAGAGGAAGCTCATGGAGGAGCTGCAGAACCGCTACCGGCAGATGGAAGAGCGCATCACCTGCCCCATTTGCATCGATGACCAAATCAAACTGGTCTTCCAGTGTGGACATGGCTCTTGCCCAGACTGCAGCACAGCCCTTACTGTCTGCCCCATCTGCAGGCAGGCTATCCGGGAAAGAATTCAGATCTTTGTCTAAGGATACGCTTGCTTCCCTTCCCATCCCCACCTCCCTCCTTTCCTTCCTTTTTGTTTGCGTTTTAGAAGAGAAATGCTAGTCAGGCTGATGTGTTTGGCTACCTGGAAAGCCATCCTGAAAGAGAGGGAAGCCAAGAAGTGATGGTACTTGGGTGGAGGTAGAAGGAATCCCCTTTACATGTAATGTCAAAAAGTCAAGGAGCGGTGCTTGAGGGCAGGCAGCCCCCTCACCCTGTGCTGCTGATCCATCACAGAGACCTGAAGTAAAGGACACTGGCCTGCTTACTGAAGATGTAAGAGACTTCCAGACTGGATGCAACTAGACTTCCATATGCAGATCTTTTCAGTGGCATCCAGCTCCAGTGACTGCATCGTGTTGAGTGCCCTGCAGTGTCAGCCTTGCACTGCTCCAAAGGGAGATGCTGTAGAAGGATGTACCTTATACCTTGGCAGGCAATGGCAAAGCATACCCTTGCACTTCACGTGAGGAGATACCAGAGATAGTCATGGCATCAGTTCTGCCAGATGCCTGTCAGTGGTAGGGGGGTAATGTCCTAGGACAGCATGCTCTCTGCACTACTGCGTATGGGCTCTGCAAGATCTTGGATGTAATGAGGTCCTAAAGACAGAGTGTGTGCCTTAGAGATAAAGTAGTGAACACTGATTGGAGAAAATATGTTGTTACAACAAATATTTCTAACCTCTAAGTGACACTCTTCTTCCATTTTTAGTTTTTCTTTTGGCACAACCATGTGTTCAGAGACTCCTGAGCTTTCTATCCATAATGCCAAAGGCAGGTGTTAAATACTCCAATCAAAGTGTAAAGAAAATAAATAGTAATAATTAAGACCTGAGAAAAAGGGATTTCATTTTTGTTTCTTGGTTTTGCAGCAAAACTTAATAAAATAAGATCTATATTTTCCTGAGCATTAAAATGAATGTACAAACAGCAGCTGAGATATGGATCCAGCTCTATTGTGTTTTCCAACTGTGTGGCTGAAAGAATATTATCCACTGAATCCATCCTGTAATGTGTTGGTGGAAGAGGCAACCCGTAGGGCTAGTGTGCTGTGTGTGTACATACATAGGTGTTTGTGTGTGGTGAACATCTTTAAGGACACAGTTAAGCATACTGTTTGTTACATATTGCAAGCAATGTTTAAAACAAACCATTGGATTTCTCTCCTGTCTTTGTTCATTAGCAAAGAGGTGGCAAATCTTTTAAAGAAATGTTTAACTTTGTGGAATATATGGGAGTTACAGGAGTATTTTTTGCAACTTCATAGTCCCTTGGTATAGTTTTGTGTCACAGCCCTTGACTCCTATAGATAATCTTTGTCAACATCTCACCTGAGGCTGTTTAATTTCAGTGGATTTTTTGAGCTATGAAAATAGATCAGATTTAAGTCTTTATCTGCATCTCTGATTGTTACTAAAGCTAATTCTGAAATCAGCTTTAGGTTACATGGGTGTTAAATACAACCCAACCAAGTGTTTAACTCTACTGTGCAAAGGCTGTTTTCAAAAGGTGCAAGGCTGAGGCATCTAATCCATTATCAGAGGGGCAAATACTTATATCCTAGAAGTTCTTGGTGGTGTAAATTCCTCTGGAATAAAGCAGATATTTACCCAGAATGTTTGTTGTAGGGCAGCAATAGACAAATACTGTAAGAGCTGCTTTAACCACTATTTGTTGCTAGTCAGTAGTTTTCCAAATTATAGATCACCCCATCTAATGTGTTAATGCTAAGCATTCTTTTTGAAATGCAGTTCTCTCCCAAGGCTCTACATCAAATCCAGAAGCAGTTTACTAAAGGTAAAACTGATCAGTGCTTCATCATGTGTGTTAAATGTGTATGTGTGCTGGCACTTGGGGAAGAAGGGACAGGGGTGCCAAACTGTTCAGTACCAGTTTTGTTATTCTCATCCCTTTAGATCTGCCTAAGGTGTCAGTTTATTCAGGAAAAACCAACAGGGAGCATCTGCTTCATTTGGTTTTAATGATTTCTTTGGCTACTAAATGAAGGGAAGCTTCCAAGTGATTGTTCTCCCTAAAGGAAAGAAGTTGTACGAAGACCAACTTTCGACTTCCAAGCTGTGCAGCTGTTGCAGAAAATGGAGGCTTTTTTTCCCCCTCTGGCTAATGAAGAGATTCTTGTAGGGAACCAAGAGGTCGTCCCAGTTTAATGTTGTAAGGCAAGTTCCATTTCAGTATCTCCTGATCTTATTTTCATCTCTGAAATTCACTGTATGGCCAAAGTCACGATGGGGTTTTGCACAGTGTAACATACGTGCTGAAGCCCTACAGAAATGGTTTGTAAACATAGAGTGTGGGTTGGGAATATGTTCTTTCATTTCCCTGTGCCTGCTCTGATTGCTTTTGAGGAGCAAGCATTGAGCTGTTAAGCACTATTTTAACCCATTCATTTTCCTAGTAAGAAGAAGGGAATTGCTGCACCACAACAGTGAAGCAAGATGGTCAGTGGAGCCACAGGAACAAGAGATAACAGAAGGCAAGCAGATGTCCATATGTGCCAGGTATGTTTTTGACAAGTCCATGACAGGATCACCTCCATGGGAGTCTGAGGCTCTGGGGAAATAAAGAAGGATCTGCTGTTTTATCTTTCCTGATAAGCCTGTTTATGTGGAGAGCCAGGATCAGGGGGTGACTTGTGGCCAGTGAAGTGCCACAGTGGGTGCAGTGATTAGCTTTGCCTACTTGCTAATTTGTTTGGTTCCTGGGTAATCTGGTCTGTGGATAGCCAGTAGCTTTCTGCCTGATGTTTCTTAACAGTTGGTCTCTCACAAATGAGACTGACAGGTCTTCTGCAAATGAGCTGGGGAGTTCCTTGTTATCACTGGGACTTCTCCCATCTCCTGAAATGCAGCTCTGTTCCTTGCAGCAGTGTACAGCAGTGGTTTTGGAAGGGGAAGCTCTTGCTTAGTCTTTCTGGTTAAAACTTTAGCTATGAGACAGCAGCTCAACTCATGCTCAGAACCAGGGTTTCTAAAGCACTTCCTTTGGAAGTGTGGCCAAAACTCTGTTTTACAGTCAGCATGAGACTGAGGGAGTAGAGGGAGAGAGATGGCTTGTTGAAAGGCAGTCAGGAAAAGAACCCATCTCTCCTTTGATTATGTTCCCACTAGTCCCTGCTGCTCCCAGGGTTTCGGGAGGATTGGTGCATCCACACATGAATTACAAATCATTAAGGGAGCCCACCAAAAAGCAACAGCAAAGATATTCCCACCCAGGGAAGCAATTCTTCCTCCTGAGGAGAGCTGAGAAAAAATTCTCCCTCATTTAATTCCTGAAACTCTACTCGCTACGTGGCCATGACTGAGCTTCAGAGTGGGGTCAAGCCCATGTCTCTTTGGTAACACAGGGTCAGGCTAGTACAGGCATTTGTGTGAGCTGCAGCTCCAAACTGACAGTTAAGCAAAATATTCCGTTTTCTTTGCCAGCTGGAGCTAGCCCTTGTTTGCAGCTCCTTTGCTATTCAGCAGACCATAGATTTTTCTAGGAACACCAGCAGATGCTGATCACGAGGGGCTGCATGATAGAAAGTGGGAGAATGCTTGGGGGCTGAAGAGCACTCTTCTTGTGGCTCCCTGGGGAATGCTGCTCCCTGCTACAGCAGATACAATCCTTTTTAGTCCATGACCCACTGTAGAAAATACAAGCTTTAACCGCTGTTCCCACAGGAACCATGCAGGAATGTTGGGTTCTTGTGGGCTTTTTTTTTCCCCCAAGTTGTGAGATGGAGGATAAATATGTAAGTGCTTTTAAAATAAAGAGCTATATGAGGATTTGCTAATTCTTTTCACATGGGCCACCAAGGAGCCAATATGTGGTAAATCACATTCAGCTGCTTGCACTCTCCCTCCCCTGCCTGTGGCCTGTATTTGGACTGGTGCCCTAGAGATGAAATGCTGATGTTCGTGCCTTGAGCCATGAGATATTAGGTCTTTCTTCTTTCCCTGACTTCCCACCTCCACAGAGAATGCCCACTTCACAACAGGGGAAGCTAATGGGAGCAATTTGTTCCAATGCTGAACAATACACACTCAATCCATGGATAAAGAGGTATCATGGGAGGCGAGGTATTGATTTTAGACAGTCAGACAGCTGCAGTTGTAGCACTAATGGTTGTTCTCTGTGTAGCACCTCTTAGCATGAGTATATATGTTGTAATAGATTGTTCTTGTGGTGTTTGGGGAACTTGAGCAATGCAGTGCCTGTGTGCTTCCTGACCTGCTGCACCAGGGCTAACTCTGCTCTCTAACTCAAACACAGCAGAGATATTTAGAAACAGTGCTGAAAATAACATTTACTGTTAGTAATGCTGAATATAGGGAAGGAGAGGAATGCTAAGAATAAACCATGGAAGGGGGAAAGTACTTAATTTTTGAGCTAAAGCTTACCCTTGGGAATGGAGCCATATGTTGTGTCTTATACAGCAGCCCCCCTTTAAACATTTCAGCAACTAAGATTGAAAGGAGCAAAACAAGACTGAGGTGATTTAACAAGGAAAACGTATTGTGTTGTGCAAATGATCCAATGCTTTATGTTCCCCATAGTCTCTAGTTGACCATTGTAGGTTTTATGCAGCATTATGTAGCATTCATTCCCTTCTGACAGCTGGTTAAAGTCTGTTTTTTCATGTGATGTTTATTGCATGCAGAGAGATTTCAGGATATGCCTCCCTGACTGCTTAGAAAATCCCAGCTCCCTACAGATGATATCCAGGTCCTGGTCACTGCTGCTAACAGCATGAAGACAAAGCAAAGTCAGTTCTGCACCCTGCCTTCCTTTCCTGTTCCCCATTACACCATATGGATTCCCTCAAAGTGTAATGTGTTCCACTGCTTTTAGACACTGTGCAGAAACCCAAGCCAGGAATGTTTTTCTGTCCAAATATAGTCAGGATGACAGTTCTCGCCTGGAGTCCAAACCAAATACCCGCACTTGAGAACCTGAGACCTCTAAAAGCCATCAGAACTCTGAAGTCACAGCAGCAGTTCTCTGCCCTTGTGTAAAAGCAGTGCCTTCAGGCCCTCATGGAGGGTATTGTCAGCTCTTGGAAAAGACAAGGATGAAATGAATTTAGGGTTCTGACTAACTACCTGCCCTTGGCACAGGGCAGCAGTGTCCTCCTGGGAGATGTCTGAAGCATCTGAGAGAGGCTTAAATTCTGATAAGTGCTCTAGATTTGAGGCCACTGGTGGCTGCATCTGAGAGTCCTTTAAGCTCAAGTATCTCTTGGGAAAGCCATGAGATCCTTAACCCAGGGCAGAGGAAAGGGGTGAAGTGTCAACAGATGTGCACTCTGGTCCTAGTAATCCTTAAACTATCTATGGAAAAGAGCTGTGCTTGAAACTTAACAACCACGGTATTCATGAACTAGGTGTAATCCTGAAATTCTGCTTTTTATCAGCAGCACGTCGCTGAGGATTCTGGCCAGAGCTTGTACACCAAGGAATCCACATGCACAGAGACTTTATCAGAAGCATTGTTACTGTGCACAGCATCGAGTTCATGTGTCTCCCTTAGCTCCCCAAAGTTGCATCTGTAAGTTCTGAATACCTCAGCATAAGAGCTTTCCTCATCTGACTCTCATTGCCACGATAACTGAGGTTTATCTTGGCCTTACTGCTGAGCTGGTTTCTGAGCAAATACTTGGCTTCAGTTTTTAAAGTTCTAGAGGCATTCAGCAGCCAGGGGTTTGGTGAAGTTGGATGCAGAGGCGCTGAATTTCTATGTGGATGGGCACAGTGCATTCCCAGTTTATGGGGGGAAAGCAAACTATGTGCTTTCCAAGAAACCCAGCACTCTGATCCATCAAGGTCTAACCTGCTTCCTCTGCTTGATACCTTGATTGGAAAGCAGCATCCTAAATGTGTCACAGAGGCTATGAATCATTTCTAAGCTAAAGATTCCCATTCACCCATCACATGTGGCACCAGAAGGTAAATAGATGATGTACAGTATTGTCCTTTTCACCATTCAGAATACTTCAGTAACTCATGGGAAAGAGCTTGGTGGGCTCACCTTTAGCAGCTGCACTCATCAGAGACTGACAAACTTGTTCAGGGGACTTGAGACATGGGTAAGTTTAGGATTGGTGGTGTTACCAATTTCTCAACAAAACGTTGCAAGCTTGGTTATGTACTAGGGGAAACAAATCAAATTAACCCATTTTCCATTGTTAACAGTGCAGGAATTTTCTGAAACCTCCCAGATGCTTCAGATACCCCCTAGGAATGTTTTACAGTGGCTGGCAACAGAGCTACTTCTTCCCTGCCACTTGCTTGTGAAACCAGGAGATTGCACAGTTCCTTTTCCTCTGCCTGAATGCTCAGCTGAGAGCAGCCCCCCCTCAGGAGCACCGAGCATCCAGACAGAAAAATGATGCTGTTTCTGAAAACCTGACAAGTGCTGAGTAAGCTTTGTAAGAAGTCCTGAACTGAGGGAATCTCTCTCATCATTCAGTTTAAAGCCATTCCCCTTTGTCACTACATGCCCTTGTACCAAGTCCCTGTCCAGATTTCTTGTCGGCCCCTTTAGGTATTGGGGGCTGTTAAGAAGGTCTCCCTGGAGCCGCCTTTTCTCCAGGCTGAACAAGTACAACTCTCTCAGCCTGTAAGCCTCATGGAAGCTGGAGCTGATGTTTACTTTTATCTGAGTTTGTAAACTCCCTGAGCAGAATGTCCTAAGCAGAGAAGCCCTCCCTGCTCCTTCACAGCATCTCATTTTTCATTTCCCTCCAGAAGACAGCCCTTGACTAATGACAGCTCTTCTAGCGTTAAGCATCCCTAATGCAACATTCCAGGGGCGTGATGCTGGCTTCTGGATTCCTTTTTCTACCCCCTCCCCCAATTCTTTTCATTACATAAAGCTGGTAACTGCACATTTGTCCTCTGTTGATTACAGTCAGTTAAAAGAGTTCACATCCATCCCAGCTTGTTTCACTTTGCTGCTTCTCCTCCGCCAGCCCAACTTTCAGCTGCAGTAACATGATTCCACTTGGCAGAGGCTGAGAGAATCTTTGGCACATTGGAAAGAAGCTTAATGTAAAGGCTACTCTCTTCTTTCTTAATTTTTTTAAAGCTTATTGGAACTCCAGTGCTTCTGCACAGCTTTGACAGTCACTGCAGGGCTGCTCACAAACGCTCCAAATGCAAGAGGATTACCAATGCATTCTGTGAAGAGAATGTCTTAGTATCTGTCACATCTCCCTCTAAGAAGCATTCAGGAAATACATGGATCAAGTAGAAGAGCTTTCTGCAAACAGAAGGAAGAGCTTCCTCTTGGTTGACAAGAAAAAGAGTAATGGCTGTAGAACCATGGTGGGATTTTTATGCATATTCCCGGTGGTGGCTTTGCTGGCTACTGTGGGAGATCCAGCTGGAGCTGCACTTCAGGAAAGTCAGGTAGGAGAAAGGATCTGATTCTCAAATGCTTGAAAGGGGAGTGGGGATATCAAACGTATGTGCATGTGTATTCTTTTAGAAGATGGATACATTCAGGAAGCAATCTAAACACTATATAAATAGCTCTAAAGGCAACAGGTCTGTTTGTGGCTGTTTGAGTCCCTTTTTGCAAAGGATCCTAAAAGGTAATTATGCATCTAAACAGAACCAGGTCATTAGAAGTGTGTGTGCAGGTTGCAGGCAGCCAAACAGTGAATGCACAAAAGATTTGAGATATTTTTCCTCAGAGCTCTGGCTATTCTTCCGAGTACCTCTGCTTCCCCAGCCTGGTGTGATGTGGCATGCATGTATTCCGATGTCTGCAGCAGCAGTTCCTAGGAACTCCAGAGGCAGGACTCATGCTGTAAGATCTAAACTGGGAGTTAACACTGAACCTACAGAGACCATTAACTGATACTAACTTTCTGTCAAGGTCCATCTTTAGCAAGATATTGCAGGACAGACTGGTTGGGATTCAGGAGGAGCTGTGGTAGGGCTCTGGGACTCTCAGAAGCTGATCTTAACTTCTGCTTTTAGCTTAATTTTACCTTTAATTAAAAAAAACCTAAGCCCAGTCTTTAGGTGCTCACATCCTCTCCTGCTGTTGGTGTCTGTGAAGATCCTGGCAACAGCACCCCTGGTTTGCATTGTATGCTCAGGACTCTTACTAACTGGTGCTAAGTCAGTTACGTTACTGCTTAGTTTGAGTGGAACTCTATGACTCGGGGAGGAGAAGAGAATGAATTGCATTCATCACAACTCCGTGAAGTAAATTATTGGAGGTCTGACTGCACAGGGTGAATAGTGTAGAGCAGGGATGTTGGCCAGTGTCTGCCTTTATATATGTTGGCGTTTATTGCAGTGGTTGAGTACCTTCTAAGCTTTGTGAATGTTTGAGACCTTAACCCACAGTCACATGAGTTTCCAGCTCAGAGCAGCTGACCTCTTCTCCAGTATTGCCATAATCTTGGTTCTTTGGCATCCAGGCAGATCCTTTTGATCCAAATTACACTGAAATTTTTAACCAGGTCATCCCATTTCTGTGCGAATCCTCCGTCTGAGCTGTAGCATGTGTGGTTCTCCCCTCCTTCCCAATTCAGTTTGCAAGACTTCCTTAATTAAAAGCATCCTTTTGCACCAGTGGGAGGTAGAACAAAGGCTAGAGAACAACAGAATGTTTGAGCAAGGGAACTCAACCGTCTTGATCCAGTGACCCGGTCAGATACAGGTTGCAGTGATTGCTCTTGGCCCTGAGTCACCCTTACTTTGGTCTGTATTTGAGGGACACATGACTTTCTCTCCTGCACTTTTTCAGCACTTACAGCCTCAGGGTTTTAAGGTCAATGGCTTCTCTTACAGCTCCAGTCGATCACTGAGACACAGACTAGCTGATCCTTCACCACCTTGCCTGTGCTGCACAATTTTCCTTTCATATCAAGGCAAAATGATAGTCATAGAGTAGAATCAGAGGTAAAAAGCCACTGAAGTGGAGGGAAAGAGGCAGCAGCCAGTTCATCTTCATGTATGTGTGCCTTGGTGAAGAAGGGGCCAGGCCTTGAGCTAAGCAAACCTACAAGTATGTGTTCCTCAGCCAGATCCCTTAATACAGCAAAGTGGTAAAAGGGAAAAGTGATCCTGTGTGTTCTTTCAAGAGCAGATTGGCATCTGAAGGCTCCCACAAGTGTGATCTAATACCCTGCCAAAAGCTTGCAACTTAGAAGTCAAGGGATTAAGTAACATCTCTGTTTCATAGGTGATGCTCTACGGTGTTTGCATTCCTCATGTTCCAGGGCTCCGCTGACTTCACGTTGTGAGTCAAAATCACAGCTTGAGCTGGAAGAAAAACCAAGACTGTCCTAAAAAAGAAAGACACTGAGATGAGAATAAGGTAGAAACTAATGCAGCTCACAGATGGGAGCAAAGGAGCCTGGTGGCCTGTTAGAGTCCCTCAGGCTGTTGCCAGTGATGACTAGCTGTAGTCACAGAGGTGCTGGTGATTTGAGCAGTACCTGGCAGCTGCTGCTTTGGGCTCCTTGTCTTTTCTTGCCATTGGCTTGCTGTGAGGCCAGCGAGATGCTGTTTTGACTCTCAGAGCCTCAGCTCTTCCATGAGTAACACAAAGACAGCTCTTGCTTTCTGTAGAATGCTGTGAGGCTGAACAAACACGTACTGGTGCAGCTTTTGTAATGTTGCCACTGTACCTATCAGTAAGTGTCTTGGTGCCTCTGGAGCAGCGATGACTTGGAGATGCTCAGTGTCTTAGACCTAAAGAGGGGAGGCAGAGCAGGTAGGCTTCCAGAGAACAATGTTGGGTCCCATTCTTTTACCTCCATTACTCAGGGCAAAAAGGCTTTTATAGCTTGAGTTGGACGTGTCATGAAATTTGATGGCTTTTACTGTATGATGGCTTTAAATGCACTCCAGGGTTTCCAGGTTTCCTATTTACTTTGAAAGCATTTCAGATCCCCAGTGTAGCTCTATGAAGAGCTCTCTGCACAAAGAGTTGCCTGTTTTCCTCATTTATCCAGTATTTCATTTTTTCCTGTGGTGAAGCTGGAGAGCAATAGCAAAGTGAAGAGGAAATGAAAACTTTCCAGGAAGAGCTGCAGCACTGGCTGTGGCCAGAAACCTACTGAGGCCTCGTTTCTGTCTGTCTCTCCTGCCTTGGTTTTGTTCAGCACACTTTGCACAGGCACACTTTGCACAGCACTACCAGCTGCTGCACTGGTCTTGTCCCCTGGACACCCTTAAGGGAGTACCAGTTCTCCCCAGCCTCCACATACCCCATACCTATTCTCTTTTAAACTGCTCAGTCCTCCTGTTTTGTCTTTTAAGGAAGATGCCATATCACCTGGGCTTCATGGAGTGAGCGCCTCTGCTTTGTACAGTGCAGCTTTCCCTCCTCGGCCTCCAGCACGGAGAAAACGATACACGATCACCCCAGGACACTTGAAATGGGACCACTTCAACTTGACATATAAGTATGGATTTGTATTAGCACTAAGAGATAGCACTAAGCAATGCTGGGGTCTTGAGTTCTCCTGCCATGGGTGTAAATATTAACCAGACGAGTACTGCTAATCCATTTGCTAGTGAATGGGTTGTTGCTAAAGCCACTCTCAAGTAGGAATAATTTCAAATGCTACACGTCTTACTTCAGCTGTGGAACACATGAAGCATTGTCACTATGCTAGAAGCTAGAATCATTCTATGATTCTATGCTGCAGCGCTGATCAGGACATGTTGACCTTCCTGTGGACAGCAGGGGTTAGTTTTCCCTCTTAAGACAAAGAACAAGTGGTTGGCGTGAACCCAACTCCTTCACAACGAGCAGAGAATATATCTCCCTTTACACTCATCCCATCTGAATTGTCCAGGTTTACACTCATTAACAGCCTGGCTTGATACAAAACCTTCTGCTCCCTTTAGGATGTGCTGGGCCGAAGGGAGAACATAAAGAGCATAGCTAAAACACAACCAGAGGGGATAGCAGAATATACACAGCTTTTCCCAATTGCTACACTTCAGGCAGTTTCCTGAATGCAGATCTTCACTGGGGACAAGGTAAGTTTCTAGGAGCCATCTGTATGTTTCCATGGTACAAACAGGGGTTCTGCCACCCTGCACCAGTAGTATTCTTACGGTTCAGCTGTAGCTATACCTGTGGCCTAAGCAAAACCTTTCTTGAGTCTTTCTCCCAATTTTTCTCAAAGAAAGTAACATATTTCACTACCAGACCTTTGATATTCTGCCTGAGTGTGTTAACAATTCAGCGTGTGCACATACATGGCACTCATTGTAGTTTGAGTGTTACGAACAGGAGTTCCCTGCTGCTGACATGCAGTTGTTTCCTCTTCTAGCAGCACTGCACAACAGACTGGAGATGGTAGGATAGTTTTCCAGAAGAATCTAATCTAAAATGATGATCTTGAGGAGGGCCAAAAGCTGTAGGCCAGAGCATGTGATATGAAAGAGTATCACTAATATATTAGTCCTTGTGGGGGGTTATTAAATCCTCTTAGTATTGAGTTCAAGATACTTCTGTTTTGAACCTATTAGAGTGAATATAAAGGCTTGGTTGTCCGATTGCCTTGAGAGCCTTCTGCTGCTGTTTGAAAAGAGCACTTCCCTGAAGCTGTTGTGTGTCCCTACAGAATCCTGTCCTTCCCAAGAAACCTCATAAACGCCAGGGACACACGCAGGGGACTGGCGGCTGCTTTCCGCATGTGGAGTGAAGTTTCACCCTTCAGCTTCAGAGAAGTGCCACGCCACGTGGAGAGTGACTTGAAAATAGGTAAGGCTGGGTGGGGACACTGTGTTAACTCCATCAGGGATTGTAGGGTTTCAGTACATAAACCAGAAGTTTGGAGGCGGGAGATGGTCTGTCTTTGCTGTGTGGATTCAGCAGGGCCACTTGGATAAGGTTTGGGGCATCATTTGCCCTCAGTCAGGTAGAGCAGCTGCTTTCAGTTGCTCTGAGTAAATGTTAGTATCAGAATTAACACTTTTCTGCAGTCAGGAAGCTGTAGGTGTTTGACAAGCATTAAAAATTCTCAGAATCTGCCACTGGGACAGGTTTATCTCTATCCCACAGGTGAGGAAACTGAGTACTGAAAGGTGAATGACATATGCAGGGTTGCACAGAGCCAAAGAACAGGTGATGGATTCCAGCTTCTTTATAGCTTCAGTCTCCCTTTTGTTGCTCTTATTGAAGCACCATTTTTTTTCTGTTACAGAATCCCAGCCTGGTTTGGGTTCAAGGGGACTTTAAAGCTCATCCAGTTCCAACCCCCTGCCATGGGCAGGAACCCCTTCCACTGGAGCAGGTTGCTCCAAGCCCCTGTGTCCAACCTGGCCTTGAGCACTGCCAGGGATGGGGCAGCCACAGCTTCTCTGGGCACCCTGTGCCAGCGCCTCAGCACCCTCACAGGGAAGAATTTTTAGCTAACACCTAATTTAGATCTAATCTAAACCCTTCCTTCTCCCCTGTGTTGCTATCCAGTAGTTACTTCCAAGTTTCTCGGGCCTAGGAAAAGGTTAGTGCTGAGGTATTATCTGCTCAGTCTCAACCCCAGATGTAAATTCTTGCTGGATTTATGGTCTGTGTGAAATGATGATTTCCTGTGCAGATGGCAGCAGCACTAACAGAACCAGCACATCTACTGTCGTTTTGCAACGCACTCTTCACTCTCATGTTGTGTGATGCTCCTCAGACATGTGATTTGCCTTCGCAGGGGCCTGTCCTGTTGCCACGTGTGAGTCCAGGTGGCCAAAACCCAGTGGATGCATGGTACACTGTGATGCTATCACAATGCTAGCAAAAAGATGGGAAGCAGCTATGGCTCTATGGCTGTCTATTTATCTACATGTAAAAGGGGAACGGTTCCACCCTGGGGTTGTCATCTTGCTGTCCAACTCCTCTTCAAATGAAAAATAATTCCAAGTGATGTTGCAAAAAAGAGCTCAATGTTCCTTTTGGAAAAGTAGACTCATTTGTGACCACTGGAAAGCTACGTCTGGGGTCTCACAGGACTGAGTACGGTTTGCATCACATAGCAATGACAACGGCTTGCACTTATTTTTCCCTTTGTGGCTCCGTAGGTTGGAAAACATACAGGATATCAGCTTGGGATTTTTAGTAAACCACAGGTTTACAGATGTTGTATCCTGCTGGGCTTACCCTGCTAAATACACTAAATCATCATCTTTCACAGGCTTCTACTCTATCAACCACACGGACTGTCTGGAGTCTCTCATTCACCACTGCTTTGATGGCACAACAGGGGAGCTTGCCCATGCCTTCTTCCCACCCAACGGGGAAATCCACTTTGATGACCATGAATACTGGATATTGGGGAACACCCGCTTCAGCTGGAAAAAAGGTAACACATGTCTTGGAGCACATAATGAATGCCTATAGGATTTAGATGAGTTCTTGTTCTGGGCTTTACCTGATCTGGGAAAGACACAGCAGAAAGAGTTGTGATTTTCTGTAGTTTTGGAAGTTGTCTCTGTGATTGAACTCCTGTAGGGGTCCATGTCTGGTGGCAGTGCTGTTTCTGAGTAGTTTAGGGGACTCAATAATCATGACATCTGGCTTCTGCTCAGGCAGGCCCATCTCTGAGAAAGCACCGTGTTCTATTACTTCAGCTGGCTGGCGTGGCTGTTGCATTGCAGTTCTCCTGGCTCTATAGACATCTTGGAGTCTGTGTCACAGCTTGGTGGGTTATTTTCTTCTTGATTATTTTTTTAAGCAGTATCAAAACTAACTCTAAATGAAAAGCAGATGGTCCTGGCTAACTAGCAAATGAAGTTCATACTGTACAGCCAACTCAGTACCTTGTTTGAAAGGAAGATATTCTGCTTTTCAACAGAGAGGAGATTTTAGGTGGCATAGAGGGACTTCTCCTGTCCTTCTTTTCCAGGTAAGATCTAGGGACAAAGACCTAGGAGATGATTTTTTAAAGCAGAAAATGTCAGTGTCTGTTAAGAAAAGAACTGATTAGATCAGGTATTATAAGTACTGAGCTTTGAAACTATGTCCTTCTCCATCAGACTCCAGAAGTCTGCTCATTGTATCAAGCGGCAATCGGTGTTTGTCAGGGGTAATAAAAATCAGGGAGCTTGTCTGGTAACAAACCTGTGCCTTGAAGTTACAGTTATCAGGGGACAGTGTGTTTCCCTAGGCTGTGTTGCTCTGCCAGCAGCTGCTTGAAACAAGCACAGATCCCTGCAAAACGTCATTCTCAGGCAAGTTTTACTAGGGTTATAAAATTAATCAGAATCCTCTCTCTTGTGGCAGTGTAACTCCATTCATTTTACATAGAGGTGGTCATGCAGTTGATTCACTTGCAATTCGGTCACCTCTGTGAAACACTAACACTGCTCCTGACTTCAGAAGGCCAGTGTGAGACCTTGCTACTTGTTTACAATGACTGATTCTCTTTCCAAACTGAATTAGGTACTTTCATGCATAAAGGAGGATGGGAACAAAGCAGAACAAAATCATTGCTCTTCTAAGTCACGTCAAAGAGATTTAGTAGAAGTATTTAAGCCCTAAAAAAAATCCACCCACGGGGGATTCCTATTTAATGCACTGATAATTTACATGTGCAAGCTGCCCCTTCCAGATGATTTCTTTCCATAAGCAGTCCGATTTAACATCGGAATCATGTGAGATTCTCATGGCCTGTAATTGTGCAAGATACCAAGACAGATGTCAGCAATAGCACCTCTTGTGAGTCATCCTTCAGTTAAGAGCCCTCTCTGCTGGAAACAGGCTTCAAGCTGCTACTGCGAAACTCGAGTTTGACCCACAAGCTATGGGGCATACAGAGGTCAATTGAAGGCTCCTTCAGACTGGAATATTCCAGCTAAGAATCTCATTCCCTAACAGCCACTTCCAGTTAACAGCAAAGTTAGCAGAAAGCTGACAAGAGTTTAGTGTTACACAGGCCACTTGCTTTCGTATCAGACATGGGTCGTCCAGAGCAGTTTTCCTGTAGTCTGGCAGTGTTGCTTTTTGTCCTGCTGTTTGAAATAAGAAGCATGTGGAAGTAATTGGCTCCTCTGCTTGCACCCAAACAGCTACAGAGATGATGAAACTTGGGTGACCTTTGATAAGACTTTATGGTTCTAGTCTAAAATACTTCCTCTGGTCCTACAGCAGGACTGGCAAATGTACTTCAGCACACACTGACAGCTGGTTTGCCATGTCTCTTCCAGGTGTTTGGCTTACAGATCTGGTGCATGTAGCAGCACATGAAATAGGACATGCCTTGGGTCTCATGCACTCCCTGAACCCCAATGCCCTCATGCACATCAACGCCACGCTGACTGGGAAAAAGACCATCTCTCAGGATGAAGTTTGGGGAATTCACAGGCTTTACGGTAAGCAAAGCAGGGTTCTGCTCTAGGCTGTGCTGTGTAAAGGTTTGTCTGATGTCAGCTGCATCCTGTGGAGCTCTCATGTTGTTAGACCCTCAGCATTTGGCGGGACTAGGCCTTAAGCCAGCAAGCAGGAACTATCCTAGTTCTTTTTATGCAAAGCTAAAAGGAGGTGTAGTGCTTGTTTCCAGCACCGCTCACTCCAAATGTGATGGACAGGAAGTTTCAGTCCACTCTCTGTGCTCTTTTGGTTGGACTTAGATTTATTAATACAAGATGATAAAACTATCTGTAACCAACCAGGCTGTGGCCAAGCTTCTCTCAAGCTCTGACATTTGCCTGTTACTCTTCAAACATTAGCTGGTGTAGGATGTAGAAATGGATACTCTTGAACCACTGATGCTACTGCTCAATATTGAGACTGTTATGCATACCATAATGGCACCCTGCTTTATCTAGTTATTGTATTCATATTACTGTACTCTTGGTTTCGATGCTTTCCTGTCCCAGCTCTACCATTTACCTTGAACAATCTGATTTAGGTGAAATGTCCATTTGTTTCTCAGAAGGAAGAGTCTACCCTAGTCTCTCCAATGCCTTGTCTCCTCCTCTTTCAGGATGTAAAGACAGATTATTTATGTGCCCATCGTGGGCACAAAAAGGATTCTGTGAGAAGCGCAGGAAGCTGATGAAAAAGCACTGTCCATCTACTTGTGACTTCTGCTATGGTATGGCACTTGTCTTCTGCTCTTCTTGGTGGGGCTTGCACAAAGGGAGGACGTAGAAGTTAAGTGGTGTCTGCTGAAGGGATGGGCAGGATCTTAATTCCACATGGGCTCAGAGCGCATCTGGGCAATTCAGCTTCAGGTAATACCTACACACCTTAAGAAGATGGATCATGTAACTAGTACTGCTTTCTCCAGGACAGAGGTATTACTTTAGACCAGACTAATACTAAAGATGCAGTCATATAATTACAAGCCATATATTCTAGAGAACTGTTCATACACTGAATGTACACGCTTCCATGGGCAAGTTGATTTTTGTCTACCTCTGTCACTTTACATGCCCCACAACTGTTACCTTTGCACATGGATATGTTACATGTCTGCCCAAGAACTGCTCAGTAGGAATTATATGTATAAATATATATAAATTGATACTTTTATGGTGCCTTAGGTAGTAACATAACTCTGTGTTTTGGAATGCCAGGAGCTCAGCCAGGAGATATGCTGACTTTTACCATTTCTTTCTCTCATCTCTGATGGACAGAATTCCCATTTCCAACAGTCCCCCCAACTCTGCCCCCACCAAGGACAAAAACCAAGACTGTTTCTGAAGGCAGGAACGTCACTTTCCGCTGTGGACAGAAGATCATTCATAAGAAAGGCAAAGTTTAGTAAGTGCTCTGTCATTTCCTCTAGTCCTTTAGGAAGCTTTACAGTTTACATACCAAAAATGAGGAGGAAGGATAGCAAAACCATGTAAATAAGAGCAGAGTTTATCTTCTAGAGCATGTCACTGTCCCATCTGATACTAGAGTAGAGAGGCTCACTGTGAGAAGGGAGCTTACAGATACCATCCCAACATTGCAAAGCATCAAGTCTGAAAGCAGAGCTGGGTTGAAAAAGGATAAAATCCAATTTACCTGTAGCACAAAGGTAATACTTAAAATCAGTTCAAATTCCCTGGCCTGTATTTTGGAAGAGTCTTACATTTACCCTTTCAGTTAATAGTTTGTTAGTGGTTACTGACGAACAACTGTGTTATTTCTGGATGTATCTAAAATTGAGAGTCCATGGGTTACTTCAGCCTGAGGACCCAAATTCCCATTAAGGTTCAGTAAGATTCAAGCTCCTGAATTACTCAGTTTAGTGCCCTGTTTTAACTTGACCTTGTTTTGTCCCATCTTTGCTGTACACTTACTTATCCAGCAAAACATACTAGAAGAACCACTCCCACATATTAACTGGTAGAATGCATTCTGGAGTTTAATTTAATTTCTATTCTTTTCCTTACAACAGCTGGTATAAAGATAAGGAGCTTCTGGAATACTCATATCCAGGTTACTTATCCTTAAATGAAGATCACATGAGCATCATTGCAAATGCAATTAATGAAGGAACTTACACTTGTATAGTAAAGAAAAAAGAAAGAATCTTGACTACTTATTCCTGGAGGATCAGACTGAAGCATTAGCAGAGGACTGAGAGCTTCCCTTCTGCTTGTTCTGTTTCAAATTCAGAGCGTTCCTTTGGCATTTTATATTTAATCTCCAGTTGTGCAATTGAAATTCTACATCAGCTGCTTCCACACCTTGGGCAAAAGGGACTCAGACTTGATCACTGGAATGTAAAACTTTTCCAGATTACTTTTAATGATAAAGGATTTATCAAGTATGTGCTGTACAGAGGATTAAAAGAGTTGGTTTTTATGAAGTGTCAGGTTTTGCAGTTGAAGTGTGGAACTCCACAGACTGCTGGAAAACAGGAATGTCACTTCATCAAAGGAACGGATGGATGGATTGCTGGCCCAGCTGCTGCAATGGAGGCAGAGGTATTGTGGAAGGAAAACAACCAGTTACACTCTCTAAGTGTTTTGCTGACCTTTGTTTTTTAGATCCTGGTACATAGCAATAGCAGAACTTGGGAAAAGTATAAGATCCAATATTACCTTTTCTTTTATTTGTCACCAAACCCTTTCTAACGATGCCATTCCACATATTGACATGCTTAGTTCCAGTATCCACAGAACACCTTTTGTCCCTCCACCCACTTTCCTGTCCTCCACCCGCTTTCCTGTGGTTTGTATTTATTACTCATGTAATCTCATCCCTGAGGCTGTTTACCTCTGTCAGCAGCTCCAACATATCCTTCAGGTGTCTGATCAATAAGCCTCTTGCCACTTTCAACAGAGATGTGGTAATTTCCATAAGTAATTTCCATCACTATCCTCCACCAGTCACCAAACCATGGACTAAATGTGCCACATCCAACAGGAAAATCTTGTTAGTATTGGCTGGCAACACCCAGTGCACTCCAATGTCCACAGTGGTGGACCATTCCCTCACAGTAAGGAATCCCTGACAGTCATGACATTTAGCAGGATTAAAGCACCTGCATTGCTCTTTCCTTAGGTTCAGCCTTTCCCCCAACTGCAGCAATGCCAAGGAAGCTGGGAAGGAAATAAATAACTTGACAGAGTGCAAGAAAGATGCACAGCCTGAAACACAAAATATACACACTCTTAGCACAGCCCATGGGTTCTCTTTTCCTGTACTCTGGGCAATAACACCCTGCTTCGTAGTAGGTGTTACTGATCTCCACCTAGGAGGAAACCTTGCTAAAATCATGCACATTTCAGTTAACAGACCAGTAATAATCTGGTTTTCCTTCCATACCAGACAACCAGTTGGGCCTAAAGAAAAAACAGTTCTGCATTCCTCCACAGAAAAACCCCAGACCAAACAAACCCAACTAGTTCCAAAATTTACCACAGTTTTAGTACATCCAAATTCCAGTTCCGAGGCCTTTACCCAGGAAAAACCTCTTAAATTATAAACATTCTATCAGTTTCAGTACATTTTAAATTAATCCTTTTATTGGACTGGTGCCTAGCTCTGATTGCACAAATACCTCAGTATTTTCCAAATCTTCCTGTTCCCAGAAAAGACCAGCAGCATTGTAAATCAGAGACTCAAAAGGATGTGATACTCCACCGTGATTCCTCAGGAGAAAGGACTGGAATATGGCATTATACAGTCAGGAAAGCTGAGCTCTTCTTTTTATGAAAAAGGGGTGTATTTAAAAGAACTTCCTATAGAAAATAAAGTTTCAAAGTCTCCATATTAAATCTTTTTGATTTACAAACCAGTAGCGTATTCCTTTTGCACCAGCACCACTGTAAATACATAGATACAGCACAACAAACCACAGTCAGCTCAGCAGAGCACCCAAAAATACAGCCAGGGAGGAGTATCAAAAGCCTAACAGGAAAGAGACCTCAGAACTGGAATGGAGTTTTTGTCCTGAACTATATTCAGACACCTCCAATTTACTAACACCAAACACCATACGAAAGGGTTGTTTGCCCAGGCTGACAATATGCTGCAATAGTTCTAGAAGACTTAATGCCACCACCATCCAAGTTTGCTGCATGTGAAGAAATGAACTCTTTCCCACTGTTAAACAATTAAAAATGTATTTTAATTCTACAAATTTACAAGGAAAAAAAACAAAAACCCAACAAAATAAACCCAACAAAACTTAAAAATAAACCAGAGACTGTTCCAGGATTGAACTTCAAGTTTTGCCTTGTCAAATTTTGTAATGATCCTTGGCTTTTCAGGTTAATTCCAGTCCTCTAATGGAATGCAGCAGTCATACTCCACACCCAGCAAGAGCCTTTGCATCTGTGATGACATTTGACTTTTCCCCTATGAAAAACATCTAGTCTCCCTGCTGTGAAGAACTGAACTGGGGCACTCAGAAATCCACTCACATGAATGGTTCTTTTCTTTGTTTTTTAATCCTCTTTTCACGCTGAGTTTAAAACTTGAGGCTGAAGCCAGGTCCTGCAGCAGATGCTCCTTGAGTGGTGGTGGTCAGATGAAAACCCGTGTCTTTCAGATCGTCATCACCCTGTGAAAACCAAGCACAATTCATTTATCAGTAAATGTCTATTACCTTTTCAACCCCAAAATCTAAACAGTGACAATAAAACCCAAAGTATCTTTAGGAGATGAGAAATAAATGTTTGATCCAGTGGCATCACACAGCCCAGTACAAGTCATGTGAACTGTTCCTAAAGCAGCATTTGCACACGTCTAAGGACATCACAAGTCCACAAGCAGAGGGTTGATATCTTTACTGTTCCTTCCGACCCAAACCTTTCCGTGATTCTAAGTCAGTATCAGCTGCTGTACTCACCAACTGACTGTATCCAAGGCCTCCCTCAGGTGGTCGAGGGCTGGTGCCACGTTTCACCCTTTGCTGTTCACTTTTTGCTGGCCAGGTAGGAAACATGGAAGGGTCGATGGGAAGCGGAGTCTCCCGGAAATACTCATGCTTCAGCCCATCCTCAGCAGTAATTCTTCGTGCTGGGTAGTAGGTCAAAAAGCTGAGAATGAAGTAGGAAGACAATCAGGGAAGAAGAATATTGAAACACAGTTTAACTTAACTGGACACTGAGTATTTTAAACCACCTGCAATACAGAAACATGTTTTACTCTACTATTCATTCCACACAGCAATATATTTTACACTTATGTGTTTCTGCAAATTCCAGACCCAAATCAGTACTATTTTCTTATCCAAAATAATGAAGACAGTGTCATCTACTTCTTAATTGCTTTGGTTATGACAGGGCTATGTCTGTCTTTGTTAAGAAGACTTGGACCTTCTGAAAAGAAATCTAACTGCCAATAAATTATTCACAACTCAGTCAAAAACCTTAAAACCTCAGTCTTAAAAACAGGGAAGAGTGAAAAACCTCTTATTTTTTTAATAAAGTTCTAAGATCTGAAACAATCATTTACTTCATGTCGTGACATTTAAAGGGAATATTAGGGGAGAATAAAAATCTCACAAGCCACTGTCAACCTTGTAAAGAAAAACTGAAATGCAATCAGAATACACCAGTAGAGTTAGATGAAAGAGCTGCCAGAGTATCAGATGTGCTGGAACTCATTAATTTGTGAACATGTAGGAAAAAAAACAAAATTGCTATTTCCTAATTCTATAATAGAATTAGGATAGAATTAGAATAATTCTAGCATAAATAATTATATCCTAAATCCTAATCAAAATAATAGAATTCTATAATAGAATTAGGAAATTTTGTTAAATTTCTGAATGTACTGGGTTTTTTTCCTCTTTTTCCAATTGTAATTGGAAATTGGAACAGTTGTTTAAACAACTGAATTGTTTTAACAAAGTCCATAACAGCAGACTCACCATGTAATTAAACATGACATGAATGAACTAAAACTACTCCTAAAACATTTTTCTGTTCTTCTAGGATATAGATGTACAAGAATAATCTTGGACTGAGATTTAACAGCAGGTGTTAAGAGCATGGTACACTGAATAAAGCTGCTGTGAGAGAGAGAGTGAGGAATAGCACTGCAAGGGATGTCTCAGACAAACTTCAGCAGCATCAGCATGTTTTGACAAGGTCAGATGCACTGAAATACCATGTTTCACTATGAATCACTTTCTATCACTGTCGTAGCATGTGAGTACAATTCCCAGTGATGCAATGAAGCACTTACTTACTTGTTCATCAGATCAAACCCCTGATCAGAGAGGAGGGCTCCAAATCTCTTGCGCAGGTTGTTGTAGGGATACTCGGTGAATGTCATCTTCTTGACTGCTGGCAGCTCATTGTAACCAGGCCAGATTTTTTCACTTGGAGTACCCAGATCCTGCAAATTAAGACACCTCTTTAATAAACTCATTCTAGAGGGAAACTCTTCTATTTACTCATTATGTAGTTACAGGAGTTGGTTACATATTCAGAGAAAACAAAGCAAACCAAAAACCATGGTCTGACTGTGTGTACTGTGAAACAAGAATCAGAGTAAAGAGTCTTTCATTAAGGTTGAATCTAAAAAGAGCAATAAGCACTTTTTATATCTTACTACTCTCATGTACCTGTCTCCGACCCAGTCAGTCGGAACCCACTGGTGTTAAAAACCTTACCTTAAAAACTTTGTTAATCTGGTCGATCTCTGACTTCCCTGGAAACAGGGGTTTCTGCGTTAAGAGCTCTCCAAATATACACCCCACTGACCACATGTCTATCGCTGTTGAATACTCCTGAAAAGAAGGGATATATGACATTCCCACCCCCAAGGCACAGATCTCTGTATCTGAAAGTCAAAATTACTGTGAATTATGAGTAATACCCATGTATACAAACACTTCAGGATGAAACACAGGTCTCCACAATGCTGCCTTTCTTTTGCACTCACACACAGAGCATCACAACCAACAAAACACTCTAACTTGCACTCTCTTGCAGAGATCTTTAGCCCTTATTTTGCCCCAACAGCAATCTCAGGTTATGGGAAAAGCCTGGTCGCCATGGTACATCTCTTAAATATAACAATTTCTATTAAAGTCATCCTTGTAAGACAGCACAGGGCAGTATTTTTTCCTGGAACAGTTCTTGTCACTGAAGCCCCATAGATTTCATCTGGATTTCCATTATAAAACAGGTAATCAGTAGGGAACATTGCCAGAATGTTGTTGCCTTGTTCTGCTCTCCAGTGTCACAATTTATACACTAGCATTAAAAATACAAATCCAGCTGCCCAGGCTGCCAGGGACAGTTTGCACCAGTCCAGTACCACCACATCAGCACTCTAAGAGAGAGAATTTCATCTGTCACCCACCCACCTTCTGCCTATGGAAGATGGAAGCCTTTTAGCTGTGTTATTAGGAAAAATAATACTGCAGTTTCAGAATTTCCACCTCTAAATCAATATAAAGCACTGAGCATACTTATACTTTGTTCATAAATTACATGGTCTGAAGAGTCATTCCTTTAGCAGCCAGAGGAACAAGGAGAAACATACCTTTGCTCCAAGCAACAACTCCGGAGCCCTGTACCAAAGTGTCACAACCACTGGTGTGTAGGGCTTCAATGGAGATCCATATTCTCGGGCTAGTCCAAAATCTCCAACCTAAATGAAAACTGGTGATCAGTAACATTTCCAGCATTCCAGTGCCAGCTTGTGCTGGCCATGTTGGCTCTTGCAGAGCTTCCAGCCTCCAGAAACAGCCACACAGAATGTGCTGTTTCTTATGGCCCTTCCTTGTCTTTTTCCACTGCTGGGGAAAAAACATTTTTCCCTGCCTGAGGCCAAGCAAGAGCTCCTGTTATTGATCATCTCAACAGAAAGGTTGTATGGGAGGGCGAGAACAAAGCCAAAACCAACAACAGATGCCAACTTCAATTTTGCAAGCAAGGGAAAAATTCAAAGTCCAGTTTTCCTGAGAAAGGGAAAGGCTTAACTGCAAGATGTAAATAATGGCAATATACAACTGGCATCTAGAACTCAGATGCAAAAATTGAAATGTTATGTCCTCATCTTAGTACTGCTTTTCTCTTAGATTTTTGTGAGTCAGTGAAGGTTTAGAATCTCCATCTCCACCAGTAACTGCACCATTCAGCACTACTACAGAGACTTAGATTCTTTTTTAAGCCTTCCAATCCCTCAAGCTGAAAAGAGCAACCCCAAACACTGTGATGCTGATACAGAAAATGACATTGTCACACATGTGCTGCATCACCAAGATGAGACACTATAGATCTTTATAGATCACACTACAAAGAGTTCAGTATTCACTAGGCCATCCTTATTGGTCACATCTCAGCACAGATCTTACAGCTGCAGCAAAGCAGTCTCTTCAATAGCAAAGTTCACTTCTTCACAACCGTATGTTTTACACCTCAAACACCCTACAGATTAATGCAAAACATCCTGCCCAGCTGCTGACCTAGCTCTAATGCAGTGTAATTCTGGGGGATCTCATGTAATTCTTACTTTTAAAATGCCTGAATGACTGAGCAACAGGTTGGAAGTTTTCAGGTCCCGGTGAAGTATCCAGTTGTCATGCAGATGCTTGACTCCTCGCAGCAACTGAATCATCAGGGTTTTCACTTCACCTGAAATGGTGAAACGAAGCCAAATGCATTTAAAAGCACAGTATAAACTGCACCGTAAGAGTATGTCACAGAACAAGAGCAGTTAAACCCAGAGAGCTGCCAATAAAGCAGAATTCATCTG